TTTCGCCGTCGAATAGCCACCTTCAGTCGACGAAGGGAAAAGCTCGACCACGTAGGCGAGTCGAGGTATGGACTCGACCTACCAACCAACGAGGGCATATTGTCGTTCATTTTGATGAACCAAACGTACATGCCCGGCAGGGACACCTCGATCGAGCTCCACTATCGAAGTACCCCACATGGCAGAACACCCAGCTTGTGATGGGCAGTTCACGCCACGGGTGTAGGATCCCAATCGTGACCATACGCCAGACACGCGGATTCCCACTCTGTGCATTCGACGCATTTCAAAACGCGTCGAACCGACATAGGGGTTGAACGGATATCTCCATACGAACACAAACTTCATCAAAAATTCATTACCAAGATAACAGTCGGGCATATACATCAAATATTATCAGATAATTGTAAACAAAGCATCCATTGTATAGGAAGTCATAAACAAAGATCAATAATATACCGACCACAAGGGTCGGCGTTGTCCAAAATTACAGTCCATGCACGACGGCCAAAAAACTAAAAGAATAAAGGCGGGCACGCAGGCCCCAAAAACAACAAAGGGCACGCAGGCCCGAACACAAATAAAAGCATCAATCACTCCCCGGAGTACCAACATCGATGTCAGGAGAGTCAGGAGGAGGCACAACCCGACCATCGACAATCTGGGATAGAACCCCAATCCCTTCGATATTCAACCTCGGATTTAGCACGGACAGTTGATTCACCGCAGACTTAAAGCCATCGGCCAAAGCGCCAACATAGTCCGACTCCAAAAGTTGAATGCGAGCGATGAAGTCGAAACGCGTGCGTAAGTCGGCCATCCCTTCAGGCCCGTCCTCCGCGGGCAGCATAACAGCCTTCAGGTCTTCGACCTCTCTCGACAGCCGTTGGTTGTCACTCTCCAACCTCTCCTTATCAAGATGGAGGCAGTCTTTTTCCTCAAGAGCTTTGTCGGCCCTTTCCTTCTCCCCCAACAACATGTCGGACTTCTCACGAAACATTTCCTTGGAGCGTTCGAGAGCAGCCTTCAGTTTGCGGGATTTGGCCACAAGATTCACCTTCTCCAACTCCAGCTCCTTAACCCGATCCAAGGAGTCCGACCCTTCGCCCGCGAGGACAACTGCCATCTCGGCCATTTTCACCACCCCGACCATACTGACAGCGAGGTGTTTCCTCTGACCTTCCTTGTCGAGCCGCCTGATGATATCGGCCTTGTTGTCAGATACGGACAAGGGAAACCCCTCGAAGAAATCCTTTTCCACAAAGCAGGGTGGCAGGCTGAAGGCCCGGGCACCCGCCCCTCCATCGGTCACTTCGACCCCATCATCTGGTCGACTTTGTTTCTTGCTAATCAAAGCAGATTGGCGCTCGGTGCTCGGGGAACCCGAGGACCCACTAGATCCTTCCCTGCCCGACTCAGGGGTCGGACCCATTCGCGTGGCTTGTTGCAGCTTCAGCAACCTCTCGCGATGCTCCACCATGTGACCTGCAAAGGAAGTGTACTTGGGTTAGCCACATTGAAGAAAACAAATAAAGAGGAATATTAATAGAGAAAAGTAAGAAACCTAAGAGCTCTACGGCCTGCCCGTAAGACTGGCATTCAACGAGTGCCTTGGTATTGATCAGAAGGGCCTCGAACGTCGGCTCGCTATCCTCATCAAGAACGTCGTCCCCTTCCCTCGTAACCCACCGAGCAAGGAAGAAACCATCAACAAACTTGTTCAGGACGCCATAAGCTTCCCCGTCCTCAACGCTCATACCGCCAGCTGGAGTGTGGTAGTATCCAGGTCCATGGTCGTAATGTCCCGAACACCAGTGGATGGGAAACTTTGAGACTTTCCCAATCTCGGGATTACCCTCAGCATCCAAACACGGCTCCCCGTCCTCGTCCACCACAGCGGCCGGTTCGAACAACGAATCCACGGCTGTCTGGGTAGACGGTTGCAAAATATACCACTTATCCTTGAAATCTTGCACAGAATCCATATACATCCTAAACAGTCTCTTTGACTGCTTAAGAGACACCCAACTGTGCTTCCCTCCTCGGGACTGCCATTGCAGGTGAAAAACCCTGAAGAAGAGGGGAATCGTTGCCCCGATCCTCAGGAAGCGGCAGGTGAGTTCGAATGCCCGGATAAAGGTAATCGTGTTAGGATGAATCTGGGAGGGGGCCAGGTTTAAGTGATTGAACACTCCCACCTGGAAGTCGTTGAAAGGTAATTGGAGCCCAAGATCTTTAAATATGATCTCGTACATGGGAAAGGCGTCCTGTGTAAACTCCGAGCAGATGTGGGCATCCCTCGTCGGCCTCATGATCTTAAAGTTTCTCCAAAACCCCTCATGGCCGCCGCCATACTCGACGACAGTGTAAGCTTGTCTAGCGGTATACCTATAGACCAAAGTTATTCCCTGGGGTTCCGCACCAACCCAGTCCAGAGTAGGGTCATCGACGGTGTCTACCAGATTCATGCTTTCGTCGGCAGTGCTTGTTTCCTCGGTATCGTTACGCTCTGAGGACTCAGGAATATCGGCCATTTACCTGCAAAGTACAAGAAACCAGTGAATTCGACAACAAATCCGCTTTTCCGCCACACAAACGGAGAGAAGTAAGCAACACTCAGACCGAGTCAACGGCCATTCGTACGAAAGACGGGGAACACGTGGACCTCGGCGCAACACCGACCTTAACGGCGAACGTATATCAATCATAAATGTCACGAGCAAAGGATGAATCCCACGACTAAGTTCATAACATTGCTAGCCAGATACAAGAATACCACGGGGAAAACTAGCCTACATACTAACGAAAGGATGAATCCCCCGACCAAGTTCATAAATCTATTAGCCAAACGCATGAATATCACGGGCACGATCGTAAACCGTATGCCTAAACCTATGAATGCCACGGGCGTGATCATGAGTCAGACGCCTAGAGTGCTTGAATTTCTCGTGCACAATCCCCAGACACGAAATTCTACCACTAAACACCATCAAAATCTATCTACAACATGAGATATCAAAGAAAAAGAACACTTACTTGGAAAAAGAGTGAGGAGCGACGATTGTGGAGATGAACACACGGAAAACGGCGCGGCGGTCTCAGCAACACTAGGAAAACACGCGATATTGAAAGCAGAGAAAATATGAGAACATGAAGATGTGAAAATAAGCTATGGGCCCTGAAGCCCTATTTATAGAGATGACGTGGAATATAGAATGTCGCGTCGAGGAATCACAAACCGCCTTCATCCTCGACGCCTACTCGCGTAGACAATGATAACCCTACTCCCTAGGTCGCAATTGTGGTTTCTAAGAGCCACGCCACGTGTCTGACTAGTGTATCACCACCTCCCCGCGAGTGCTCCTCGACCGCTGCACGGAGCAAATCACAAATCGGGCGACGTCTCATGTCCATGATTGAAAACCCCTGTGTCGCGCAAGCGAGTCTCGCGAAGGGGCAAACTTGAATCAAGTCATAACTCTCGTACCAGGAGCAACGACTTGAGGGGCTCATGTTCTGGACTGGGCCTGCCCTTGGCCCAACCACCAGTGAGGCCCAATCCAAGCTTGCCAACCTACTGCGCTGAGCAGTATACCCATCGAGCACACCCCGATCATAGGTATCTGGTCGACTATGATTGCTTCCCGCCGGTGCTCGCGAATAATGTTCCCGACGAACACGCGCTCCCTCTGAGCACCCTCCTCGTAGGGCTGACTTTCAACCTCTCTGGATTGCGCGGAGTCTTCATGGTCCCGGAAAGATCGCGTCTTTATCATCCTTGTCTTGCAGAGGGCGTCATCCAGGTAGGGGCCCACGTGCGGGTCCCCACTACTCACGTAGAACCTGACAGTCTCTTTGTTGGGCCTGTTTGATCAGTTGAATAAAGAGACCTTAGCTCAGCGCTGAGGGCTATAAATATCCTCTCTTTCGAGAGGGTCAGGTATTCATTCATTCACACCTACATTCATACTTGCTTGTTCATTCCGTCTCTCACTTTGCCATCAGAGTGTCTTGCAGGTACCCCTCCCCCCTCCTTCAAATCCAACCTGAAGCCAGCCGTGACGGTCCAACTCTGATCAGATCAGATTAATAAACTTTTTTTAAAATTTCTAAGTCCTTGTAAAAACCCATTTTAAGTATTTATTTTTTTGAATGATAAAATTTCAAAAAATATAAAATAAAGTTATTTTGGATAGTTTTTAATACAAATAATTTTAAAAGATATTTTTTTAATATAAAAATATGTGACATTTATTATGTTAATATATCAAAATGATTTATCTAATTTATATTTTTTCTATCTCGAAATAAAAGTCGTTTAAAATTGTTACATACATATTAAAAAAAATATTGATGGAATCCATAATGATAATATTTTTACAAAATTACTCTTAATTATTATTAATTGTTAAAAAAACTGTTATTTTAAGACAACTTTTTATAATTAAAAAGACAATTATTTTAAAACAGAAGTTATTTATTTTTAAATAAATATTTTATAGAAAAACTCTAAAATAAAAATGACATTGTTTTGTAAAACCTATAAGAAACTGATTATATCTCTTGTTAAAAATTTTAATGACAATATAACTACAAAATTATAGGCTAAGATATAATTTGTGTTTAATTTTCGTACTGGTCATGTACATTCGTTAAAAAGTTGAGATAATGTCATATAGGTCATGTAAGTTCATAGCAGAATCAACAAAAGCTAGATATTAAACATATAAAAATGAACAACGCATCACTGATGATAAAAAAGCATTGCTTCATTAATGACTAGACTAGGGCTGAAGCTGCAAATAATACGGTCTAATAAAAAGAAAAGAAAAGAAACATTGAAGACAAGATTATGCTATCCAGTTCAACCATAGTTGATGGTTGGTGAACTTGATGCATCTGAATCGTTGCATATAATTCTAAGAATAAATAAACTGATACTACTGTTGTAAGAGTTACTTTGCAGCAGAAGGAGAAAGCAGACTCCCAACTGTCATAATTCAATCAACCACAAGGTTCTTCATTTTGGATTCCAGTTCATCTTCCACGCTACCCTCTTCATCGTCTTTTCCATCAGGGTCATTTTCGTCTAATGGACCGAGCATGTCCGGAGATTTTTCAAATATAACCTTCAACTCTTCAATGCCATCATCAGAAATTTGGTTTCCATTAATGTTCAGAAGTTTAAAATCAGCCTTCTGCACCACATTGAGAGCCAATTGTCGAGCCCCATCACTGCTTATTTCATTGGAACTTAGATCAACTTCCTTTAACTGGTCAAGCCCTTCTAGAGCCTTACTTATCTGGATGGCACCTTCATCCTTTAGTTCGTTCTCCGAGAGGATCAGCTTGGCAAGAAACTTCTTTGCTGCTAGGCAGTCTACTATAGCTGGAACACCGTCAACTGTGATTTCATTTCCATTCATCTCAAGAACTTCAAGGTGAGGAGCTGATTCCTTAAGAGTGTTAACTATAGCAATTGCTCCTTCATCTTCCAAGTTCAAGTAGCTTAGGTATATCTCTCTTAACTCTGCGTTCTTGGCAAGAGCTTTACTCAGAGAAATCCCACCCTCGACACCTAACATGTTGTCTCGTAAATCAAGCTTCCTCAAATGGGCACAATTCCCTAAAGCTTCAGATAAGGCGACGCCACCTTCCTCGGCTATCCTTGTGGAGGAGCAACGGAAATCCTCCAACAGAGGAGAACGCTTCACAACCTCAGCTATAGCAAGTGCTCCTTCATCTCCAGTCATATTATTATGAAAATGAAGAACTTTGAGCTTGTCGGTGGAAGGAATCAACTCAGAAACTGCTTGTGCGGCTTCTTCTGAAATTCCATCATTCATAAGATAAAGCTCCTCCAAGCAGCTTTGGGATTTCAAGAGAGCTCCAAATGCTCTAACACCTTTCTCACCTAAAGCATTGTCAGAAAGGTTTAAATACTTCAAGACACTTCCCTCAAGAGCAGCAGAGAATATCCTCATGACATCAAGTGCTTCTGCTTCTGGCCTTCCAGCCACAAAATCTGACAGGTCTACTTCTTTCAACTGGCCCTTTAGTGAAGTAAGAATCGGCTGGGCAACCTCTGCCGCTTCTAATCCAAAACTTCTGTTGCTGAAGCATATTTTAGTGAAAGAATTCCCCGGTTCCGTTAACGGCCTCAAAAGTTCACGAGCTTCCTCTGCTTCAATGAAAGCCCTTTTGCCTTTTGATATATCAAAAACAGATTCCCGAGGAGCAACGGTATAATCAGGCACCACCGCTTCATTGTCACTGTTCTTATTAGGTTCTCGTTTAAGCACATCTAGGAGGAGCTTACTGCACTCTTTGGCATAAAGCTGGACTGCAGATCCTCCATCACCATCTGGCTCTTTCTCATAATGTAGGTTTGCAGTGGCAAAAGCCACGTCCTCGATTCTTTTTGCATTTTCTTCAGCCTCTTCACGGTCCAAAGTTGCATACTTCTGCGTGAAAATGGATCTTGTAGTAAGATTGATGATCAACTTTTCCACAAGTGTCTGTCTAGTGTTCTGACTAGGAGGCCATAATTTGATTGAAAATGGTCTGTTCTGAGAATTCAGCTCCATAGCAATGAAAAACCTGTAAGAATTAAAGTGTACGACAGAATAAGAATAAAGATTAGTTGACACACATTTGTTTTCTGAAAACAGTCATAGAGCAATGGCATTCATACTTGTGTATGTATAATCACTGTGTCATACGGTCAGAGACAATAAAACATTATCAAGCCCTTGCACACTTAAATGTATCTGAATGCTAAAGGCATACATCACTTTAATCACTTGTTAATATCATCAGTATCACAGGTCCACAGGACAATTGTAACTAAGGCAGGTTAGTGTTAAGCCCTTATTACACAAATTACAAGTTATAAAAAAGTGCTTTTATTGTACCCAAAAAAAGTGCTTTTAAAAGCAGGTCAAGAAATAGGAGCAAGAACAATAGGAAACCCTTCAAAGAAACAATTGCAATTACAATTAACCGATATCATACTAAAAAGACTGAATAGACTACAACTCGCACTTGAATTCTAACAATCTCTCACACAAGTGTGAGTCATCCACATCACTAGTCTTGATTCAAACTTGGATCCCACTTCCGTCTCCGATCGAGACTAACCATGACTCTAATACCACTTGTTGGGAAGCGCCAAGTGTCAATGGGCTAAACATTCAGGATCCAAGGCACCTTGACACCATACATTCACTCAAAATCTTAAAGCAGGTGTTTATGGAACCTTTCTCTTATATTAAGATTTCATATATTTCGGGTCGATGTGAGACTAACCACTCACACATGAATCCCAACAGATTGGGTAGTAAAGTAGGGTGTTTAAATTCCACCTCGATCATAAACCATTGATGTTAAGGCGATAATCAATCATAGGCTAAATGAAAATAAGTAAAACTACAAACAAAGTATCATTGATGACGATAAAAACAAAAAAGATTGAAGATTTAATTTATGAATAATCGGCGACAGTAATTAACAGATAAAAATTCGGTAAACCCACAAATCAAAGTCATCAGAACAAGAACCTGAACACTAAACCCTAATTGCATCAGATCTGAAACTTGGTAAAAATACGAACTTTATATAAAAATTAGAAACCCTTTGAAAAAAGCGCAGTGAAAAGGCAAACAGAATACAAAAATTAACAATAACATGAAAGAAAAAAAAAAAGAACCCTAGAAAAGAGAGAATATACCTGTTTTGTTGATGTGAAGAATTGGTGTTTTGATGAAGCGGTTTCAAAAAATATTGAATTTGAATTGAAAGATGATTGTGGAAGAGTGAGAGAGTGGAGGGAAACCCGGCGATAATGAAGAGGATTGAAATTGAAAATCAATTTCGGAAAGCGTAATAAATAATAAGGGTATGCTATTGGTGATTATTTTATTTTATTATATTATTATGATTCTAAGTTTTGTTTGAGAGTTTAAAAAGAAGAGAGAGATATATTAAAAAAAATAGAAAGGTTGGGTGAAAAAAATAGAGATATTTAAGTGAGGAGGGTTTTGAAGATTTGTTTTTATATTTATAAATTAAAATCTTTTATATTTGAAGAATTAAGATAACTATATTGGAGAGGGGTTTTTGGAGGCTTAGATAAGTTGTTCAAATGTAATATATGTTACTATATTATTCTCGAAGTTAAAAAATACTAATGATATATAAATAAATGATTCGGTTGTTTCTTAATTTTTAGAGAGTGATATCTATCATAGATGGGGATTTTTTATCATTGATGTTTATGAAGTATTTGAGGTGGAGTTTAAGATTAATATCGTGTGGTATTGATGGGAATTGAAAATCTAGGTAGTATGAGCAAAAATAAAAGGATTTCTTCTCCACTGAGGACTTTGGTAGTGTCAAAAGAAGATACATGCGAATGAAGTTGGGAGTTTATGTCTCCTTAGATTGAACCAGGAGTTCAAATAAAGGACCAATAGGACCGAGTAAAGAACGTTGCAGAATAAATGCTTGGAGAAGATCTTGAATTTGAGTAAGAGGATGGTCAAGACTGAGTGAAGGTTTTTGAGATTTTAGTTGCATGGGTTGTGTAAAACAGAAGAAGGAAAGATTCAGATTGATGCAATTAATTTTGTTTTTAATTTCAACATCTAATTTCTTGGTTGCATAAAACACACGTTGTATAACTGTCAAAATATTGGAAGACTACGAGTTTTCAAGGGTTCGCCATTGGAGACAAGATTAGACGCAAAGCGAGGACAAACATGATGAATCAATATAAACCCCGGTGTAATCTTCTATTTCCATATCTCCTCTAATTTTTCTTATAGAAACGCATGTTTAGTTTTTCACCGCTTTCTTAAAAATCACATGTTGTTAGGTTTATTTCGTTCATAGCAATTTATTATGTAAAGTTTAAGTCTAGTAGTGATTAAGTCATAGGAATTATCTTTCTTGTGATTAAAGTTGTTTGTAATTGTAATGTTAGATTGATTCAATTGATCAATAAAATTCAATTTAGACACATCGTCTAGACCTTTCTCACCCATATTCCCCTCTAACACTGGAAGGTTAAGACATTCTCCTCCAAACTTTAGTTAGAACAATGCAACTTGTCCATAGAAGCGCACATCTCTGCTAAGGTTTCCTGGTTGTCGTTACTAGCACGACTAGATGTGGTGGCACCTCGTCATGTCACTATATTGAAGAGTGTGATCGATGCAGTTATAAATTGGATATTATTGTGGTCTAAGTTAGTTTTACCAAGACCGCACAATAGACGACAATTGTATTGGGAAGACACAATGAGAATGATGAATTTATTCACGTGTGTGATTGTAAGAAGGTATTTATGCTCTGATATGTGAAATTAATGAATGGGTCTTCAAACCTAGAGGATGAAGTATAAATAGGTGGCTTATTGGACCGTGTAGAAAGAAACACTTTTCTCCTAATTTTTCCATGACTTTGTGGGAGTATGGGGCCCTATTCTTCCTTAATTAAATGAGGGACGATTTACTGTTAGAAATTCCGGTAAGATTAAATGGATTCAGGTCTGAATCGTGAATGAATTCACTTTCCTTAAAAGTATTTCAAACACTCTCTTTATTGTCTTAGAGTTAGAAAGTAAGAATACCCATGATAATTCAGTCTCTTAATCGAGCCTGCACAAGACTGGTGAAGAACTCAAATTTGCAAGGAAAAGTGTCTAGAATATTGAAGAGGATGTATGATTTTTGAGTGAATGATTTTTGAATTTAGAATATTGTATTTATAGGCCACACATGTGTTATTTTTTAAGTTTGCAACTCTTGATGAAACAACACCTTTTGAGCATAAGTTTGCAATGGTTTGCCTATAGTAACATAATGCACCACTTCATGAAGTGTTGTATATTTTGAATTCGGAATTCAAACTTTAAGAAACGACCAAAAAATCAAAAGCATTAATTAAAAACAATTTTTAGCATGTCAGCCGAAGGCTGGCCGCTGGAGCGCCAACGGCGCTGCCTCACTAATGCTGCAAATAGCCTGATTGCTCTGATGCATTGTGCCTAAGTGCTTAAGTGCCGCCTACAAGCCACCACTAGCGCCTCTATGTCCACGACCTTGGTCCCAGTCTCGGTCCTAGATTCAGAGTCACTGTCGCCAGTGACGACACCTGCAGGGGGTTGTTTAGATGTGACAAGTGGCATAATGCTTGGGACCACCACATTTGCCCATGTGACACCTTATCCTCTTCGGCTCCTTTGTTGAGTTCAATGCTTCAAGGTCTTTATAAATGCTCTTAAAGTTATCTCCAATTTGTATGTGGGATTATTTGCTATGCATTTATTGTTATTAACTCAATTGCCCATTTTGTCATATTGGAACATACCCATGGCATTAATTGTTCATTAACTTCCAACAATTCCCCACTTGTTCAAATAATGACAAATCTAATTCCTGAAAATGAGGTATAAAGAGTGTTAATACAATTAGGTATCTTTTGATTTAAAACTTAATCTTAGTGAGGACAACATAAAGTTTAATCTGAATGTTAGATATAAATGCTTTAAAACCATTGATCTATATGATCAGATTGACATTACCTTACACACACTCTTTAAGGATTCTTCTCCTACATATATCGCTTAGCACTTATTTATGGCCATATGTTATCCTGTTTCATGAATTTTTCATGAGAGAAACTCCAACTCTCACTTTGAGACGACACCATCTCAAAATTCACATAGGAAAAGTTCATATTGTATACTTTCCATCATATACTTATCCTAGGTATTGAACTTCATTAAGAGTTTGAAAAAACTCAACCCTCAACTTAAAATAGTCAACATTATTACCAAATTCCTGACAAGCATCCAATTTAACGACTTGTTGTTACCCATTGAATCTTGAGGTTAATGTTATGTTAACGTAAGATTGGGTTACCACTATTGTCAGAACTCTTATTCAAGGAGTTTCAACCTAATGCCTCTCGAGGTTGTTTTTAATAAGTCTCTGGTCAGTGGCTTAGTAAATAGATCAGTCAAATTATAGCTTGTCCGTATATAGGTGAGTGAAATGATTCCATCATTGACCAGTTTTCTCACGAATGAATGTCTGAGCTCTGTATGTCTAGACTTTCCATTATATACTTTGTTGAATGCTCTTGCTAAAGTGGCTTGGCTATTACAGTGTATCATCACCTTTGAAACATTCTCTTTATCCAATGGAACTTCCAACAAAAGATCCCTTAATCATTTCGCTTCTTAACCAGCGGAAGCAAGAGCCACGAATTCTGATTCCATGGTTGAGAGAGTAATGCATGTTCGTTTCTTGCTCTTCCAAGAAATTGCTCCTCCAGCTAGTGTAAATCTCCACCCAATTGTATATTTATGGTCTCCAGTAGTAGATATCCAACTCGTATCAATATATCCTTTTAGTATGGCAGGGAACCTATCATAATGAAGGCCTAAATCTTTGGTTTTCAATAGATAGGCAAAAATCCTCGTGATTTCCTTCCAATGTTCTTGACTTGGATTACTAGTAAATCTACTCATTTTACTAACTGCAAATGATATATCAGGTCTGGTACATTACATTAAGTACAT